CCGGACCGCCGAATTAGAAAAAAAAATATATCCTGTATAATTCGTAAACCCGCTTTCTCCAATTTCTCTAATAAAATTAATAAATTAAATATATAAGTTACTTTACAGAAACTTGAATATCTTAACTTACAAGCAATTTTTATATGTTTACTTAGTCAAAATTTCAAAATCATATAAGTTATTATGTAAGCTATAATATAAGTTTACAACTCTAATTACCACTTAAGTGGTCTTTTTATACTAATCAGATAAATCAACAGGATATTCAACAGGGCTTTACTTATTTGTGTCAGTAATATAAACTTCTAAAAAAGAAATAACCAATCAGTAAGTTTGAATTTTAATCATTCCAGATTAGCCTGATATAAATTTTAAACACATGCAAAAGAAGAAAAAAGTAAAAATACTCAAAAACTAGTGTTTAAATTGACCTAAATTCACTAATTAAAAATATCAGAATCGAAATTTTATATATAATAAATAATAGTCTATAGCTATAGCTTTTAACTGTAACTTCTTAACCCTAAATTTGTTTTTATACATTTTGTTTATTTACAAATTAAAATTTTTTTTTTTGGGTTGTATTACTGGCACAAATAAGTAAAGCCACCTAATAGGCATTTACTAATTTTGGCCTCACTTTCCTATTGGTTAGAATTATTTACACCAGTTTATATGTCACCTTCTAATTAAAGTATTAGTGAGTAAAATTATATTAAAATTTTGCAAAAAATTTTTTTATTAGTGTCCAAAAGGTGATTTCTTAGACGAAAAAAGCAATTATTATTTTGATCTTCACATTACATCTGATCTTGCATTCTGATTAGCCAAAATCAGAAAAGTGATGTGAAAATTAATAAATGCACCCAACAGATCACCTATCGGATGACCTGAGACTTATTGTCCATCTAACAGGTAATCCAAATGAAGATTTTTTAGACAGGTCATATCCCTAACCTTAACCCCTATTTTAAACTAAACTAATTAAAAGTTTTATTTTTGTAACGATTAAATTGTTTTGATTTATATGTTATACTAATTTTAAATTTACATATAGAGTAGCATTACGACACTATAGCACTATAATAATATTTTCTAATTTTATTTATAAAAAATATTTATAAGCATATAAACAATAAGCTATATACATAATAATATTATTTAAATATTGATTCAATAAACTAATTGTCAATATTACATTAAACTGAAATAATATCACTAATTTTTATCTGGTTTTGTACACCTGATAGACCTAGCATACATTTCAATAAAACCATTTTGCTAATAGTTTCAATAGCTTTCTTGCGATTTAAAATTTTAACCGTTTTAAATTTTTTTTCCTCACTTAACCAAAATAAATGCCACGAACTATTTAAATCTGTCAATACTCCAATGGTTTTAATTTCATCATTAGTTAAAAAATCTGCAGCAGTCATTTCCAAAACAACCTGCATTATATGTTGCTCTTGTACTGATTTTTTGAACTCCATTATACAATGAATACTGCTTGTAGAGATTAATCCATCAATGTAACTTCTTTCTACTAAAATTAAATCAGTATTTCCTCGAGTTTTGAATGGAAATGGAGACTCTTCTGTCATTATATTAAGAAAGTTTCTAGATTGTGAAACATCATGAATGACAATACTAGTGGGAAGGCTTGGCTTTAAATAGGTTTCAAGATATTGAATTATCATTTTTCATTGGCTTAAACAGCTTTCATTAAGTTTATCCCATACATATGGTTCAATATCATTACTAAGTAATGACCTAGTAAACTCTATGGCACTTATTGTAAGTTTGTTGTGCTTTAAAAATTTTTGGAAGTTTGTCTTGTTTATCGTTGAATAGGTTATATAGGAAGCTTCTTTGTGGGTTTTGATAAGAGAATTTTGAATAGCTAAATTTATCGTTATAGAAATTAATATTAACATAATATTAAATACAATATTTACTTAATTGGTAAGCATTTGAGTTTTCTGCATGTTCGGAAACTTGATGATTAAGAATTTGACACTCATATTTTGTATATTCAAAATTTCGATGGCCAGAACTATAATTGTTAAAAAAAAAATTAGTAAAATTTATATATTTAACAACGTTTACAATTTTGAATCTAAAAATAATAGTATACTAATTCATTAAACTATTAACATATTGATCACATCGACCTTCAAATACCTTTCTAGCTTTATATTTCATACAATCAGAAGCATAATGACCTGATTGATTACATTTATAACTATATATTTATAATACGTATAATAAAATTAGCATTATACTGTAGAAATTTCAAGTATATATCTGTATTTAATGTTAATTTAATATGATTCTAACCAATTATCAGCCTTCCTTTTTTTAATTTTCTTTTTGTTCGTTGCTTATAGTAATTAATAAACCAATTAATCAAATAAGCACGAAAAACAATATAGAAAGTTGTCATTAAATACAGTACATATAAAAAAAACTAGAAATAGAGATTTTAAAAAGCACTATTTCAGTTTTTTTTTGATATAACCTATTTATCATAACTTACCAACGTTAATATTTTCTTTGTTAAATTCTGTCGTTTCAAATAGAACGCCTTTCCAATATGTTGCAATTTTTTTTTTATAATGATTGCGTTCTATATTTAACTTTTATAAAATGAATAAAAGGATAAGTTAGTAGTGCATTAATTTATATATATAAAGGGTTGCGTAACCAATTATTCTTTTATAATTAGTAACTCTTTTTTAACAACAAGTTTAAGAACACCCAAATTAAGAGCTTGGAGTGGCTACCAAGGTTATCAACATGGTAATTCCCTGAAGTGCCAATCTTAGCCAGTCAGAAAACGCCCAAATTGAAAGCTTGGAGTAGTTACCAAGGCCGTCAATTGGCAATTCTTCTGAAATGTATCAACTGTCAGAAATATACTTCTACAACTACATAAACTAGCCTCAACCAGTTCAGGGATTATTCTTTCTTTTATTGCAAAATAAAATAACACACCTTTGCTATCTCATTGGCATTTTCATTAAAATAAGCTTCAGCTTCTGCTAGAAAACGATTGAACCAAATGTCTTCAAGTATGTACCATTTTGGGTATAGTAAAAGTGGTGCCAATGCAGTTATAATTAGATTTCAATGTAGAGATAAAAAACTTAAATAACTGATGTTATCATTGTTTTTTATATATGAGAGGATTTCTAGAAATAAACCATTTAGAAACCAAAAGTAAGTTCAGCTTCTTGATTAATTAATGTGCAACAGAAACAAGACAATAAACATTACCTTCATATCCACAATATAGTTTTATGGTTTGTCAAAAGGAAAGGTTCTAAAAAAATTTTCAAAACAAAATGTTATCAAAAAAATACAATTTAAACGACAGTTATACGATATACGCGAAGACAAACCAGGTATATTATAGTTGGGGCATGCCCCATGGGGTACTGTAGTAGGTAGTGGTAGTACAGAGCCTCGAATAATACATGTAGAGTCATGTGAATGTGATAGGTTGATTGACAAAAATTAAGAAAAAATTTTTTTCTATCTAAATTTTGCCTATGATAGATCTATTTTTAATAATTACTAAAAATTATTTTTTTTGCGGGTATATTGACGAGCCAGTATGCTAGTAACGATAAAATTTAAAATAGCGGCGGATGGGTGCTCTAAGAAAAAAAAATTCTACTCATAATTCTGGTTTAAGTTTTGGCTAAATATCCTTTCTAACTCTTTCCATCTGACCCTAATGATTAAAATCGATTTAATATTGGCGATGATAACCTGTCACACATTCCAGTCTTGCCATGTAGAGGTTATTGCGGCTTCATTTAAGCAGAGACGTGAAAAATTATCGATCAGCATAGTATATAATTTGGCCTCATCAGAAAAGCAAATAGCATAGTCCCATCACAATTTTACTGAATATCAACATTATATCGATATATAAAACAATATTTCCCCTTTTTATCCTTTTTATGGGGTCGTTTAAAGCGTTGTGCAATCATGTGATCAGATGATCATCAACATAAATCCGGAGGGTCGGTCATAGGGTCGGACTATACACCCGTTTTGTGTAACCTTACGTACTTTTAATCATTAAAAATTTTTTAATTAAGATATCTCAGTATATAATAAATAAATTTAATATTTTTTTTTATATTTAATTCTAGAGGTCTCTAGGATTAAAAAAAAAAACATTCAACGAATTTTCTTGGGTAGTTATCGAAATATTTTCATTCAAAATTAATAGAAACTAAATGTTTTTCTTTAAAAAAAAACTTTGAACAAAGATATCTCATCAAGTACTTAAGCAAATTTTGATAAACTTTTTTTATTTTACTTCTAGAGATCTCTAGAATTAAAATAAAAAAAGTTTCATCGAATTTGCTTAGGTAGCTGTTGAGATATCTTCATTCAAAGCTAGAAGAAACTCAAAATGCCTATAATTAATAAGCAGTAAATTTTTTTTTAAAAAAAAATTTGAACGAAGATATCTCAGCAAGTACCTAAGCAAATTTGATAAACTTTTTTTTATTTTACTTCTAGAGATCTCTAGAATTAAAATGAAAAAAGATTCATCGAATTTGCTTAGGTAGCTGTAGAGATATCTTCATTCAAAGTTAGAAGAAACTCAAAACGCCTATAATAAAGAAGCAATAAATTTTTTTTTTAAAAAAAAACTTTGAACGAAGATATCTCAGCAAGTACCCAAGCAAATTTAATAAACTTTTTTTTATTTTAATTCTAGAGATCTCTAGAATTAAAATAAAAAAATATATTTTATTAAATTTATTTAACTTTTATGCTTATCGACTTTATTAATGGAATATAATGAAAGTATATATTAAAATATTCATGAACTTACAGAGCTTATTTAAATATTTAAATTTAATAAATGTTCTTATTTAACACGAATAAAATGAAATTAAATATTCACAGACTTAATTTAATTAAATACATGTTCTTTATACATTCTAAAATAAAATTAATGCGAGGATAATTAAATTAACGCGAATAAATAATGAAATTAAGCAAAATATTCACGAATTTCAGTAGTTTATTTTAAATACTTAAATTAAAAATGCTTTATACTTACATACTAAAATGAAGTTATGTTAACGCAGATAAGATAAAATTGAATATTAAATATTTATGAGCTTTATTTAAACACTTAAAGAACGTTCTTGACATTCACATCATAAAATAAAATGAAATTATTCATATTCATATTAACTCAAATAAAATGATTAAAAATTTTCTTAATATTTATGTTCTAAATAAAATTGAATTAACATGAATAAGCGAAACTAAATATATATATAGTAATATATTCATGAACTTCGATAATTTATAAATTAAAAATGCTCTTTATATTTATATTCTAAATTGATGTAATGAATATTTATGAACTTCAATAATTTATTTCAAATTCTTGGTATCTTTATACTTACATTCTAAATAAATTAACACGAATAAAATGAATTAAATAGTAAATATTTATGAACTTTGATAGATTATTTTAAATACTTAAAAATGGTCTTATACTTACATTAAAAATAAATCTAAATTAATGCAGATTACAGATATAATAAATAAAAATTAAAATGTTACATTCACATTCACATTCTAAAATAAAATAAATGAAATAAAATAAATATACGGTATTCTTGAACTTCGATAGCTTACTTTAAACACTTAAATAAAAAAGCGCACTTTATATTCACATTCTAAAATAAAGTTAAATTAATGAAATTTAAATATTCATAAACTTCAATAATTTATTTTTTAAAATACTAAAATAAAAATATCCTTTATACTTACATTCTAAAATAAAATTAACACAATAAATTGAAATTGAATAGTAAATATTTATAAACTTCATTTAAACACTTAAAAATGTTTTTTACGTTCACTTCTAAAATGAATAAAACAAAATTAATTAGTAATATATTCATGAACTTCGATAATTTACTTTAAATACTTAAATAAAAATGCTCCATGTATTCACATTCTAATATAAAAAATTAAACGAATAAAATTAAATTAAATAGTAAGTATTTGTAAAACCCAATAATTATTTTAAATACTTCTTTTATACTTACATTATAAATAAATAAAATTAAATTAATGCAAATAAAATAGATTAAAAGTAATATGAACTTAATATCGGAAAGTTTCAATTATTTTTAGAGATAAAATTATCTGCAGATAGATATATTTATTTAGTTTGATCTGGATTATAAAATTAATAGCTGGCACTAACTTAGGTATCAATTTTTAAATGAAATTTTGTTTTATAATAAACTTCTGCTAGTAATTTGCTTTTTTTTTTCACATTATAATTCTAACCATTTATGCTAACATCTGATTATTTAAAACAGAATCCATGCTAACTTTTAATTCTCTAATAAATGTATTAGTTTGTTCCAAATTACCCTTTTCTTTGACCTTCTAATATGTATCACACGCTCTTTCTATTAATTCATTTACAGTCAGATATCTATTTTCTGCTGCCTTTTCAGCTTTAGTTCTTTCTGACATTACATTAACCAATTTATGATTCATATATATCTCAAATCCGGCTTCATCAAATATTTGTTGAAAATTCCTCCATGCATTAGATGTTAACAATTTCGTAGTACTATATAAATGTTCATAGAATATATGTTGACAAGGCAACAAATACTGGTGAAAAAATAAGCAATCACACCTGAGAAACGTAAGACCTGGTGAAATTCTCTTTTTTGACTCTTCCTTCAAAAGTACAAAACTCATCAACAATCATTTTTTAAACAGAAAATGGAAATTTATATATTTCGTATAGAATTTCATCATCTATACCAATAGCAGAAATCTTTTTGATACGGAACTCAAAGGCTACATAGTTTAAATCTGCTTTTTTTTTCATCCAGCTTGACTATTTTATAGCATGCTTCTAAAAACAAAAAAAAAAAATTTTTTAAATTTTTTAAAAAAAGCTGTCTTGGTGCTATCTGAAATAGTAATAATTTATTACCATTTAATTGTCTGACCCTAACCCTAGCATCTCTTATCATAATATATATTATTAATTTAGACAGGCCCTGGGTGGTGCCAAGACTTATTTAAGTAAAACTATTTAAATTATTTAAATATTTAATTTAAAAAAATAATAAGTGCATTGCATATCAATTATACTATATTGCAAAGATGTTTTTTTTTTTAATTCACTATAATATGACTCAAGAGAATTTGTAGAGGTTATTTGCAATAGAATAAAAGAATATTGACAGGCTCAAAGGGCCCACTAATATATATTTTTTAGATAATTTCTTGAAATGTACTGTTGGATAGTTGGAATTAGACATTCTTTAATCGCCTTTTGAACAAGAGCATCACAACCGATTTTGTTTTTTTATACATTGCATGAATCATTTTTTGCTGGGTTTTTGGTTCATATATATTTTTAACCAGGTTTATATAATATAAACAGTGCAAAAAATAACATTGCACTCTTGCTCACCATGTTGAAGATCTTGGAAAGCGATTTTAACACTATTAGCTTCAATATGACTTTGATCAGCCAAAAAATATCTAGGTCTCTAGCGGTGCTCCATTGTTTTATTATAATTAGAGCTCTTGTGATGGTGTTACTATTCTTAGCACTTACAAAAAATATGCACCAACATCTCAACATCCAAAATTATTGCAAATATATAATATAAATAGATAGTAATTATATTTATTGATCTTATGGATCGAATTAATTAGAGTTAACTATTCATATTCTTCAAGATGTTTAAGTTAGTTAGAGTGAACAAAAATGATGCCTTGGGTGTTCTGATTATTAATTTTAAAACATTTTACTTGATTTTTTTTTTTTCAAAAAAGAAATCGAATCCTGAATATCTAATCCTCAATTGGGGTTACCAAACAGATATACATCAAAAAGTCCACGTACTTTATACTTAATATTCGTGACTTCTATTCTTTTCAATTCTTTTATACTTTCATCTAAATTTAACTTTTCTGTTGCAAATTTTTTTATTGCATTTACAATTTCTGGTAGGTGGTAATTCTTTACAGCTTCTTGTATAATTAAAGTTTGAATAGCTTGTAAATATTTAAGCTTTTCAATATCTTCTAGAAGATGTTATGATCAGGTGAGTCTTTATAACGTTCAACTCTTACTTTTTGTTCTAAAACCTTGTATATTACTTTTATTTTTACTAAGCATATATTAGCTGGCCAAACTTTTGTTTTATGGTGCTTCTCATTTAGAACATTTTCCTTTCATGTACTTGATTGTTTAGGCTTATTAAACTAACAGACAAAAGACTTTTATGAGTCGCTATTAATATTATTACAATAACTAAATTAGATCCAAATATTTGTTATGAGTGGCCACTATTCAGTATCAAATTCTTGAATCGGGATCTCCAATGGTTGGTTAATATTAAAAAGGAGGATGTGTTTTTGATTAGGTATTAGTGTTTCAGGTATGGGTAAGATTGGTAAGTTGATAGTTGTAGAAGCAAGATCCATTGATTATTTATAGTATGTTACTAATAAAAAAAAACTATTGCTCTTTAAAAAAAAAAAAAATATATGCTTAAAAAGAAAAGTGCTTGTCTTTAAAAAGAAAAAAAAAATGCTTGTGTTTTAAAAAAGAAAAAAAAAAGTTTCTTATAGGAAAAAAAATGTTTGTTTTAAAAAGTTTTTTATAAAAAAAAAAATAGGTTCTTGCAAAAAAAAAAAAGTTTTTGCAAAAATATCTTGCGAAAAGTTCTTTGTAAAAAAAATTTTATAAAAAAACCTTATATATCTACTGTATAACATTTATAAGTCATTTTTATATTTAAAAAAAAGAGCCCAACACCTTG